GCCGCCGGGCGGTAGCGCGGCGCGCTGGCAGCCGCGGGAGCCGGAGCCCTGCCGGCTGGGGTTGATTTGTAAACAATGGATGACGTCTCCTGGGCGCTACCACGGCGCGGGGCGGGGGGGTGCCGTGAACGTGGGGTAGGGCATCGGTCGGGCTGGGGCACCGAGTAAAGCCTGGATGCTCCTGAGTTCCTGACTGAGCTCACTGTCTGCTGGAGACGCACTGGGGATCGGATCCTGGTCGGTCGGCCTAGCGTGATGAGCATTCTACGAGACGGACACCCCGGCGGACCCTGTTGGTTTCTTCCACACACAGCACCTACACTTCCACACACCGGCACGCACCCCTCCCCTTCGCACGTCAACCGCTCTGCTTTTAGCCTGCACTTTTGAGCTTGTGTTGCCGACGTCGAGCGTTGAGCGAGGGTGGAAAGGAGCTGGAGTGAAACTAGGAATCTGTATGACAATTACGGAAACGCGGCCCACAGGAATGAAAAGGAGGAAGGGACCCTGTCCTGCGATGCGGGTGGAGGGGGTGGCAGAGGTGTAAACAGAAAAAAGACAACAAACCACAACCTATAGATTAGTACAGTGCATCTAGACCGGGATCCTGGGTGCCTGGAGGCCAGGATGTAATTGGGGAGCAGAAGATTGCTAACTAGGGGTTTTTGTTTTGGTGGGTGGCGGGGCTTGAACTCTGGGCCTCGACACTGTCCCTGAGCTCCTCAGCTCAAGGCTAGTGCTCTACCACTTGAGCCACAGTGGCACTTCTGGTTTTCCGGTGGTTTATTGGAGATGACTCTCGTGGACTTTCCTGACCGGACTGGCATTGAATCGTGATCCTCAGATCTCAGCCTTCCAACAGCTAGGATTACAGGCATGAGCCACCAGTGCCAGGCTGCCAACTACTTTTTAAACAAATCCTCAGCCCAATAGAGCAAGATCCCCTCTGAGGGGTTACCAAGAGAAGAAACGGTGAGCCAAAGGACCTGTGGACTATATTAATCTTCTAATGGTTGATTATTCAATGGTTAACCAAAACTGACTGGCTGACTTCCCTTCCTCCCTCCCTTCCTCCCTCCTTTCCTCCCTCCCTCCCTCCTTCCTTTCTTTTCGTTTTTTTGGGGGGGTCCAGTAGTGGGCCTGAACTCGGCCTGGGCGCTGTCCCTCAGCTCTTCAGCTCAAGGCTAGTGCTCTACCACTTGAGCCACAGCGCCACTTCCGGCTTTTTTCTTTTTGCTTATGTGGTGCTGAGGAATCGAACCCAGGGCCCTCAGGCATGCAAGGCAAGCGCTCTACCACTGAGCCACCTTTCCAGCCCTTCCTTCCTTTTCTTTCTCTCTCTCTTTTCTTTCTTTTGTTCTTTCATTCTTTCCTCCCTCTCTCTCTCTTTCTCTCTCTCCCTCCCTCCCCTTCCTTCCTTCTTTTCTTTCTCTCTTTCTCTTTCTTCCTTCCTTCCTTCCTTCCTTTCTTCTGCTAGGGGCACAACTAAGGCCACTGAACCACTTGGTGCAGCTCAAAATGTCACTTTTTTTTTTTTTAAGAGGAACAGGGCAAAACATGATTTATTGGTATCATGTTGCATTCAAGTTTTTAGGCCTATATTTTATTGATTTATTCAGTGTCGGTGATGAGGCTTGAACTCAGGGCCTGGGCACTGTCCCTGAGCTTCTTTTGCTCAAGGCTAGCACTCTACCACTTGAGTCATAACACCATTTCCAGCTTTTTCTGTGTATGTGGTGCTGAGGAATCGAACCCAGGGCCTCAGGCATGCAAGGCAAGCGCTCTACCACTGAGCCACCTTCCCAGCCCTAGGGTACATTTCCTTCTTTCTTTCTTTCTACCTTCCTTCCTTCCTTTCTTTCTTTCTTTCTTTCTTCTTTTTCTTGTTAGCCCTAAAGCACTCATACACAGACACTGGAGAGCTACTTGAAAATACTAAACAGGAGTCAGGCACAGTGGCCATTTTGGGGAGACTGAAGTGGGACTATTGCATGAGATTAAAGTTATAGATTGGTCTGGGCAACATATTGAGACTCTATCTCAGAAAATGAATAAACAAATACTCAAACTGAGCAGTAGGGCAGCATGATGTAGAAAAGGAGGTGCAAGGAAGAACCTTTAAGGAGATAGGAAAGTAGAAAATAGGGGTCTTGGTAGATAATTCCCAGAAAAGAATTACAGGAGTAAACTTTAGGGAGGGAATAGGAGGGAGGGTAGACTAAAAAGAGTTGGGTTTATTTTTGTCATGTGTGAAGGAAAAAATGTCACAACACAAGTGTCAGTTGGTAGAAAGCCACTGAATTTCTAAATCAAAGAAATCTAGACTTCTCCAGTGTCAAAAATTTCATCAGAGCCGGGAGCTGGTGGCTCATGCCTGTAATCCTAGCTACTCCGGAGGCTGGGATCTGAGGATCTCAGTTCAAAGCCAGCCCTGCCTGGAAAGTCCATGAGACTCTGATTTCCAATTAACCACCAGAAAACCAGAAGTGGTACTGTGGCTCAAATGATAGAGTGCTAGTTTTGAGCTGAAGAGCTGAAGAACAATATCCAGGCCCAGAGTTCAAGATCCATGGCTGACCCTCCCCCCCATCTCCCACCCCCCAAAAAATTCATCAGGCTCATGCCTGTAATCCTAATCCTAGCCATTCAGGAGGCTGAGATCTTGAGGATTTTGGTTTAAAGTCTGCCTGGGCAGGAAAGTCCTTGAAAGCCTTATCTCCAATTAACTGAACTGTAGCTCAAAGTGGTAGAGCACTAGCCTTGACAGTGCCAAGGGCCTCAATTCAAGCTCCACAACCAAAAATAAAAAAGAAAAAAAATCGTTTTTTAATTCTAAGAGCACTGTTAAGATTCTTTGTGTATAAAATCACATGTCATCTGCAAATAGAGATGTTTTTGCTTTTTCCTTTCTAATCTGGATGTCTTTTCTTTTTCTTGCCTAGTTACCTTGGCTGGAATCTCTAATAAAGGTTAGATAGAAGTGATGGGAGCTGCCGGGCGCCCGTGGCTCACGCCTGTAATCCTAGCTACTCAGGAGGCTGAGATCTGAGGATCGCGGTTCAAAGCCAGCCTGGGCAGGAGAGACCGTGAGACTCCTATCTCCAATAAACCACTAGAAAACCGGAAGTGGCGCTGTAGCTCAAGTGGTAGAGCGCTCGCCTTGAGCTGAAGAGCTGAGGGACAGCGCCTAGGCCC